CCTGCTGCGCAAGTGCAAGGACCCAAGTTCGATCCCCGGTACCAAAAAAAAAAAAAAGAAATTTGGAACATAATACATTTCATGGCAGTGTTCATTGGAAACTTAGAAGGCATAGTTGGTGGCTTGTCATCACCTGCCATTGAGCCAAGGAAATATGTCCTATGAATGTGGATTGAACCCAGGGCCTTGGGCATGCTAAGCACATGACCTGTCACTGAGCTCAACATATCCTTGTCCCATGTGTTTTTCTAAAGAAAAAATAAAAAGTTAAAAAGTAATAGTTTTGAATGTTTACTTGTAAACATTTTCCTATTAACTATACTTTGAAAACTACACTTTTTATACAGCTGTGTAATATTTCACCCTAAGGCTATAATAGTTTGCTTGGCTATTGTTTGTGTGTTTGTTGAGAATAGGGTCTCACTATGTAGTTCAAACTGGTCTTGAACTGTTTAGCCAGGGCTGGCTTCAAACTCAAGGTGATCCTGCTGCCTCTGTCTCCCAAGTGCTAGGATTAAAGGTGTGTGCCACCACGCCTGGCTCCTGGCTATTCCTGGCTATTCCGAGGGATAGTTTTTTAGAGGCAACACAATGAAAAGGTTGAGTTGGGCTCTGTTGAACCCTCCTGCCCCAGTAGGGGTCAAAGGGGGAGCAGATGAACAGGTAGAAGATGCATCTGGAGGGGTATGGCCCCACCTAAAGCTCCTGCCAAGCATTCTACCACTGGGGTGTCTGTGATCGTCTCCTTCAGTTGAAAACAAAGAGCCAACATAATTGGTATTGGCTAGTGTCTCTGTTTCAAAAAGGTTAGGGTCTCTAACCTGCATTAGACTTATAAATGTCGTCAAGTGGAAATAACTACTACCAAATGCACCTCTGAATTTCATGCTAAAATGCTAACATGAATTCTATTCCACAATTGAAAAAGCTGCTCAGGAAAATACTGTTTTAGATGAAGTAATTTGCTCATAACAAAGTAATAGGTTTATTCTGACCTTGTTAAAAGAAAGAAAAGATTCTAGCCCTACTCCCTTGCTTTACCCTGCCCACTCTGTGAAACTGGACCTTGAACCCAGGGATGCTCTCCCACCCCTTTTTAAAGTTTCTCTTTTCTTTTTCTTTTCTTTCTTTCTATTTTTGTCAGGCCTGCCCTAAACCAACAGGAAAAAGCAAACAGGCTGTTTTAGGCAAACAACAGCAGCTTCCCAGTAAATAGGACAAAGGGGACGCAAGATGTAGAATATAACCTCCTTGGCTCCGTAAAATTTAGTAACTGTCTACACACCTGAGCAGACCATCCTTAGGCATACAAATCATAAATATATTACCCCAGATTCCTTAGCCCTTCAATACCTATATAAGTCTAATTCCTTTCCCAGTTAATTGCTAATATTTCTCTCTCTCGGTGTTAGCCTATCCATTCAAGGATGAAATCTCTCCCAGCTAGCTGCCACTCTCTCTCCCAGTGTCAGCCCATTCACACATGGATGTGATAAACTCAGCTTTTCCCAGCTAGCTGCTAGACTCTCCTGATTTTAGTCTCTGTTAACTAAAGTAAACTTTTCTTTTTCTTGGTGACAAAGAACCTGTTTGTTGACAAGTGGATTCTTTATAACAGTTTTGAGATAGGGTCTCACTAAATTGCCCAGGTGGTACTCAAACTTGTGATCCTCCTGACTTGGCCTCCCTGAAGTGCTGCGATTACAGGGGTATTGAGATCCTCCAACTGTGAAGGGGGCACAAGGACTAAAGAGAAAAAAGTGTGTACTTTCAAAGTATATGGGGGGCCGGGAGGTCAGTGCCTCAGAGTGGACAAAGCCATTATTTTTGGGTACACACAATAATTGGAGGGAGTACCAGGTGACTTAAGGGGCTGCAGTAATCCTGGGTCAATGGGGATCTTATGTTGACAATGAGGTTCTTATGTTGATGAGGTCGGAAAGGAGAGCATTCCTACAATTGTAGGTGGGATGAGTTGAGCTGATAAGGAACTTGTCCCTCCCCAAGTGAAACCTTTCTCTCTTTTTTTTTTTTATTACTACTCCGTTCTCAAAGAGCCAGGATGTCTTCAGCTGATGTAATCTTTTTTGTTGTTGTTGCTATTTATTTATTTATTTTGTTGTTGTTGTTCTTTTATTGGTACATTTTAGGTATACAGTTCATTTACATTTATCATTGGGTGTTTGTACCTGTACATGATATATCTTGGTTCTTTTTTTTTTTTCCCCATTACCTGTGCACCCTTGACCCCCTCTGCCCTTCCCTATTTACATAGATTTCATTTCCTTTTTTTTTTTTTTTCTTTTCTCATAGTTTTTCCTTTCCCTCTTTTCCTTTCCCCTTCCCCTCCCTTCACTCCTTTGTCTTTGGACCTTTTTTCCTATTTCAAATTATCAATTATTCATTTTAATCATTTTAACCCTTGTTTACACTATCAGTTTCTCACACTAGTGAAACTATTCAGTATTTACACATGTGTGTCCTATTTATTTCACTTAAGAGTATGACCTCTATATGCATCCATTTAGCTATAAATGACTAGTTTTTCATTCTTTATGGCTGAGTAGTGCTCCATTTTATAAAAAAACCCCACATTTTCTTTATCCAGTTTCCAGTTGATGGGCACTTGGGCTGCTTCCAAGCTTTGGCTATTACAAACTGTGCCGCTATGAACATGGGTGCACATATATCACTGTGGTATGATTCTTTTAATTCTTTGGGGAAGATACTGAGCAGGGGAATAGCTGGGTCAAATGGGACCTCTAGCCCTAGTTCTTTGAGGTATCTCCATACTGACTTCCACAGTGGTTGCTCCAGTCTGCACTCCCACCAGCAATGGAGAGAGAAGGGTTCCTTTCTCCCCACAACCCCGCCAGCATTTGTTATTTGTTGATTTCTTGATAGCAGCCATTCTTTCTGGGGTGAGGTGGAATCTCAGTGTTGTTTTCATCTGCATCTCTTGAATGACGAGTGATGTTGAACATTTTTTCATATATTTGTTTGCTGCTTTTACTTCCTTGTCTGAGAAATGTCTGTTCATTTCAGATGCCCATTTTTGAATTGGGTCTTTGAATTTGGGGGGGTCTAATTTTTTTCAATTCTTTATATACAGCTGATGTAATCTTGCCATTGAGCACCACAGCATCAAGGAACCATTGAAGCCTCAGCTGTGACCAGAGCCAAAACAGTTGTTTCCACATGCCATAGCCAGCTCAAGGGCAAGGTGACCTTGGGCCTTAGACAGTTATAGTTGTAGTTTAATTTTTTTTCCAGTCACCAGTTCCCTTCAGTGAACATGCCTTTTGAGCCCTTCAGCTCTCAACCCATTTCTGATTCCTTTTTCTTTTTTTTTTTTTCTTCCATTACCAGGGAATCGAACTCAGGACCTTGTGCTTGTGAGGCAGGTGCTGGCACCACTGAGCTAAATCCCCGGCCCATTCTAATTCCTGCTAACCTTCCCGCTCATTTCCATCTTCTGCAGCCCCAGCAAGCCTTACTCATCCCTTCCTGCTACTCACATATTCCCAACCACTCCTCCCGCATTTTCCTTTATTTCCCCTCCCCTTCCTTCTCTTCCCTCCATCCTACATCATTCTCCACTCCATTCCGAACCTTAGTCCTCATCCAAAATTCTGCCGGCTTCTAAGCAGCCCGTCTGTTTTCCTTGAGCTGCCACCACTGGCCCAGCCTTGTCCTCGATGCCCCTCGCTTCCATGCCTCTTCTCTGAGTGGTAGTTAGCAGTTCCTTCCCAGCATCATCCTACCTCCCTGCCCCCCTCATCTCACATTCCCAGCTTCCCTCTCTCTGACCCCCTCCTTCCACAAGGCTCAAGCTGACCACTCCACGGTCCCCTGAGGGCAGATCCACAGAAAGGACAAGGCAGCACCCTCCACCCTGCACCCCCCCCGCCCCCCCTTGCAGCAGCCTCCTCCCATTGTGTAATGGTCTCTGCCACCCCCACTTAGCCTGGGTGGGAAGGAGAGAGGAGGGAGCCAGTCCCGAGTCCCCGGGATGGTCAACGGTTGGGGAGCTCCCAGTCCAGCTGGCAGGCAGGGAGGGCAACCCTGGCAGCAGAAGACCAGAACTGCCCCATCTCCAGCTATCAATCCATATTTTAATTGTGAAGTGATTTTCCCCCAAAATTTATGTAGAATTGCTCTTAACACAGGTGTGCCACCATGCCTGGCCTAGCCCTTTTTTTTCATTTATATTATTAAAAATATGTGCATTTTACTAATGAAGCTTTAAAAATGGCTAGAGTTAAAACGAATGAAATAGATCTGTTCATATTAACCTAGAAGGATATCCAGTTTGGACTGAATAAAGAAAGCAAATTGTAGAAAATAAGTACAGTGTTTATTTTTCAACACATTTGAGTGCTAGAGGGGTGTGTGTACGGCACAGCTCTTGCACAGAGAAAGTGCATCATGCCTGTCCCAGAACAGCACAAGGTCACAAGTTAGGGCTGTTGAGGCAAGGGACAGGAGCTCTGTGCTCTGTGTTCTCAAGCCCTGTCCTGCCCCGGCTGCCCAGGACAGCACTCTGAGTGGCTGCTGTGTGAACTGCCTACCTCCAAGTCACTGCCCTGGCTCCAGCAGGGCCCTGTGCAGAGTGCAGATTATCAGCCATTCCCAGGGCTTTGAGCACACACTGCTCTCCAGAAGGTGCCAGGTAAACAGTAGCTATCACGGTTCCATTGTGTAATTTTAAATTGTATACAAAGAATTGGACACAATGAGGTGCCCTTGAGCTGGGTGTTCTAGAGATGACAGACTTCTGAAGTGTCACTGACAGATGGTGTTGTGCTTTTCTCTTCTCCCAGGTATTTGAGAGACAGCTGCAGTTGGCTGTCTCTCTAAAGAAGCCCTTGGTCATCCATTGCCGAGAAGCTGACGAAGATCTGCTTAACATCATGAAAAAATTTGTGCCCTTCGACTACAAGATCCATAGGTTAGGAGGCTACAGCTTCTGCTGCAAATGAAAGACACTGTTTTGTCTGGGATGTTAGTTGAGAAAGAGAAACTCACTGAGGAGAACAGTGATAACGTTTTATCTTTCATTACTTTTTTCCTGTATTGAGGTCCTGTGAGATCTGAACTCATATTACATCTTTAATACCTTTTCTAAAGAATAGAGTGAAGCATATGACATTTCTTGCCACACTTGCCTGTTGTTTTTCTGTGGCACCTGGCTTTAGCTGATACCCTGAAACACCAGTGAGGGGGGAGCTTTCATTTCTCAGAAGTGGGGACTGTTCATCCTTTTGGGACCAGTGGCTGAGCACACAGAGAACATTCAAGGGCATCTTTTTTTTTTTTTTCCCCAGTACTGGGAAGTGAACTCAGGACCTTGCACTTGTCAGGCAGGTGCAGCACCACTGAGCTATATCCCGACCCTTCAGGGAATCTTAAACAGATATTTTTTTTCCTTTTTTAATTTGAAAGCTCCTTTTTCCTAGTTAACGTGAAAACATAGGATGTGTTTTATCAAGGACATCTAGGGTTCTGAAGTCCAGTTTGGTGAATGCCTTGAGCTGCCTTGTGTATGTGCTGGGCATTGGCTTGGCTCTGAGAATGCCTGGGTCAGAGGGGTCAGTTGGTAGCATCCGTGTACAGAATGTTCGGGCTGACTGAGGGAGGCATAGGTGCTTCTTCTGGCTAGAAGGGCCTGGGAGGTGATGCCTGAGGTGACTTGTTAAAGATGGGCAAGAGGGGTTAATTGAAAACACAGGGCTGGAGCTGCAGGCCTCTCCTCTGTGCTGCTGCCTTCTAGGAGCCTGAGCAGAGAAGAGAGCACACACCAGAACTGAGGCACAGGCATATCCTGCTCCTTTGGCTTGGCCAGTCAGTTTTCTGTTGCTTCAGTGGCAGACAGACCAGGGTGAGGATGGCCAAGGCAGTGTTAGGCCCAAGGTGGCCTTCAGCTCCCAGATGGGTTAACTGTAGTGTACCAACAGTTTGAGCAGCTGTCATATGTAGAGAAGAAAAGTCACCTACAGCCCATTCCCTATATTTTTGTGGTGCTGGGGATAGAACCCAGGGCCTCGCATGCTAGGCAAGCAGTCTGCCACTGAGCTATGTCCTCAATATTTTCATTTTTTGTGTGTGCTTCTTTGGACTACATAGGTGTAATTTTTGCATACTGCAGTTGTAACCTTAGAAGGACCAGTTTAATTCTGTTCTTTTCCTGTGCTTGTGTTGTTACGTATTTTGTGGTGATTTTGCCAAGTGTGTGTTCTTTGCCAAGTGCCTATATAATGCTGTGTATGACATGGGAGGGGTTTGCTGAGTGTTGCTCCCTGTGGTTGGTTGCCCTGGGTCTGACTGTAATGGCAGCAGCGCCTGTCTTTGCTTACTGTGGAGTCCCTCCCTTGAGTGCAGGTGCTTCAAGTTTGTTACTTATTAAGGGCATAAGGCCCAGAGGGACTGGGGGCTGCTGCAGAGAGAACTATGGGCAAAACCTGGCCTGGCATTCTTCCCGCAGGCACTGCTTCACCGGCAGCTACCCAGTCATCGAGCCTCTGTTAAAGTACTTCCCCAACATGTCTGTGGGCTTCACCGCAGTGCTGACATACTCTTCTGCCTGGGAGGCCCGGGACGCTCTGAAACAGATCCCCCTGGAGAGAATCATTGTGGAGACTGATGCTCCCTACTTCCTCCCTCGCCAGGTAGGGCTGTGTTCAGGCTGAGTTGAGGCACCAAGGAAAGAGAGGGCAGGGAGGTGGATGGTTAGAGCCCCAGTGTCCCAGTGACTTCCAGGTCCCACCCTGGCTGTATAGATGTGTCCTTGCTATTGCTCTACAGAACCTAAAGTCCAGGGGTCAGAGAAGCTGAAGGGTAACCACTCTCTTCCAGGCAGTGCAAAGCCCTACCCTGTAGAGGGCAGTCCACAGAAGCGAGGGACCCTGCTCACCCAGAGCCCCCTGCTAGAACTCTCCCTGCACCTGCAGGTAAAGGGGTCTCTACAGGGCAGCCCCAAAGAGGTCCTTGCTGGGCAAGGGCTGGGAGGGAGTTCAGTATTTGGCTGTGTGCAGAAGACATAGCGATGTTCTGCACTCTTGATGTCTTCCAGGTTCCCAAAAGCCTTTGCCAGTATGCCCACCCTGGCCTGGCCTTGCACACAGTTCGAGAGATTGCCAGGGTCAAAGAGGAGCCGCTGTCCCGAACCTTGGCTGCTTTGCGTGAGAACACCAGTCGCCTCTACAGTCTGTAAGCCAGAGGACGCAAGCAGGAGCCTTGGAAAAGGTCATGCCATTCACATGATCTGCTTGTTAGACATCAGGCCAAGCAGGTCTTTGGCTACATCTTCTTAATGTACAGAATATAGACAGGATGAGCATGAAGCCTGATTTGTGTTGGGTGAACTTGGCTTGGAACCTTCTTCCTTTTCTCTTTCAAATCTCCAGGGTGACCAGCAGCCTGACAGAACATGGGCTGGGTCCGAACTTTGCCTGCGTCCCAGGTCAAGGATGTGACTGCAGAGCCTGTTGGAACAGAAAACCAAGATTGGACATTGTCCTCAGAACTCCATGCTAAGGCTTCAGCTCCTGGCTGGTGGGTGGGTGGGGCATGAGTGGGGGTAAGGGGCTGCCCAGTATGGCTGCTGGGTTCTGCCTCTTGGTCAGAATGTTCCAGGGCAGTCCCTGGATGAATGCAATGTAAGGGTATGAGTCTGTCAGTCCAAGTCCCTGTTCTTTGCAGCCTGTGTATTTGAGCAGTCTGTGAATAAAGTCACCCTCCTCCTCATCTGAGCACTGTGGCTGTATAACTTAGTCCCTGCTTCTCGGTTATAGAAACAAACCCTGGAGAAACCAACCCCTCCTTCCCCAGTACCCTCCCATGTGCTGTCGCTGTCCCAGTGCCAGCACAAGCAGAAGGACACAGCCTCTGGTCTCCTTGGCCCACTGCTGTCAGAGTGGAGGTGTGCAGAGGAGGTACTCCCTGCTTACTGAGGCCACCAGGGTTTTTCTGAGGTGTTAAATGGATAAGGGTTCAGTCTATAGCAGAAGCTACTTGCTGAGGTGTCAGGCATCCTAGCCTCCCTTTACTCCATTTTCATCATGTTCTTCTGGGATATTGGACCAAAAATAATCCCTCAGATTAATCCTTTGTGACTGACCCTAGTGTGCCCCACCCAGGTTGACAGGAGAAAAAACTTAATTCTCCACGGCTCCCTGTGGGGCACCCAGCTGTTATTTTGCCTTTGCAAAACAAGCAGTCCTGGTCCTCTCCAGGTGTCTCCCTTGCCTTGGCCTCTGTGGTTCCTCTTTAGAGGTCAGAGCCCGCCCTCTGCCTTGAGCAGCCATATCATTTCAAGGTCGGAGCTCTTCTGTCTCCCTGCTGTGCCTTGTAACAGTGGACTTACTGCAGGCCATAGAGGTCAAGGAGTAAGTGCAAGGAGACTCCTGCACTTTGCTGAAAATGATTCTCATCCTGATCTGCCCCTGGAGTCCCTTATCTTGTTTCTTAGAGGCTTATGTTATAAAATCTATCACTGATTGGGGATTTCTAGCTGTGTATGAAAGGGACATTTGAACCTTGTGAGGCAAAGTGGAATGGATATAATATTTCTTATCTGAAGTGGCCTGAGAAGGCCTAGATCACTCTCCATCTCCCATGGGTCACCTGTTGTCTGTGCCTCAAATTTGCCAGTGTGAGGAAATTGAGAACTTGATCTGCTTGAAAGATGTGGGGTTGCTGAGTATATCTGATGCCTCATCATCACCCACATGAACGAGAGCCTGGCCATCTCCTCTACAATAAGCCCCTGAGCCAACGCTGCCTGTGTGTGAGACCAGCTTGCTCTGTGCTGAGGGATTATAAGTGAATCTCCTACCCTCTGCATTCCCCTGACAAGGAGCAGCATGAGGTAATGTCAGTCTACCTTTTTCTCTCAAGATTCAGGGCCACCATGTGCATGCTGTTAACCCAGTGAGACCTCACCTGGCTAGGTGTGAGAATTGGGTGGCCTTGTTTTTTACTGTGATTTAAGGGTGGCTTTACTTGATTGTTTTCGCTGTGCAGCCAGAATGCTTTCTACGTGCCCGTCTTTGGCCATCTCTGAGAATAAAGTGTTGGGTCCTCTGGCTACCTCCTGTGTTGTCCATGTCTGTCCAAGTGTCTCTGAGTGATACTGGCAGCTAGCTTTGCAGCTGAGCATCTCACATTGTCAAGAATTCCTGTCGCTCTGGCAGCACTGTTAAGCGATGTGAGAAGACATGGTGCCTGTCTGTGAGAGGCTCCACCGACTTGGAGCATCAGCTCTCACTGGACTGCCTGGGAAGTCAGCTGCGCTATGCTTAGCTTCTGAGGAGCACGAAAATACTGAGCCACCTTCTCATTTCTCTAGCTCAGTGCAGGAGGAGGAAAAATTGAGTCAATGGGGGAGCTGATGAATCAGTGGTACCGTGGGCTTGGGATTTGAACACCGATGTCTTTGAGTAAACTTTGGAGGACATTCTTTCACTCTTTGTTTTTTTTTGTTTGGTACTTGCACTTTCGTGGTAGGCAGCGGCCCCACTGAGCTAAATCCCTGGCCCATTCTTTGCATTCTTTGTGGGACCTTTTTCTTGTCCTTTAATCTAGGGATCAACCCAGGGCCTCATGCATGCTGGGCATGTACTCTGCAGCTAGCACCCAGTGCCTGTACTAATCTTCACACACATGCGCAAAATGGAAAGGATTCACACCAAGGTGTGTGTGGCTGGCAACGTCCCATTTGTTTCCCCCCAGAAGATGAGCTTCTGACCTGAGTTCAGCCTGGGACCGAGGGTGAGGTTCTTGTCAACTGTGGGCTGGAGGCAGGAAGTGTTTGGGGATAGCCAGCCTCACTACATGAGACCAGTACTTTGCCAGGCCTTTGAAGTAGTGGGCAAGGAAGGAGAGTATTCTTATTTCAGCCCTGTCTGATAGTGTTTAAGAGCCACTATTGAGCACCTATGGATGTCTAACTTCAAACTCATTCTTGGGCATTATCATCATCTTGTTCATATCATCTTGGTGACTAACCTGGAGTGGATATTGACTTCAGTATTGTCACCTACAGTTTCTTTGTTCAAGCAGCCACTGCTGGTTCTTATACGTTCCAGGTGCAGCAGTGCTGCCCTCAGATAGCTTGCATATATAAGTGCCTGGATCTGTCTTCCTCCCTACCTCCCCTTCTGTTCTCCAGAAACCTGTTCTGCATCCCTCAGTAGTTTAAAATATGAGGTTTCCCTCTGGTGGAATAAGTCCCATTTGGACATTTGGCACGAAGTTTGAACATTTATTCGCCTCTTAAGCTATCACAAGGGTCTCAGAAGTTGCTGCAGAAGTGCTGGGAGAGCCAGGTGAGCACATCTGGGCCAGTCCTGCGGGGTCACTTGTCAGCAGGGGCCTCTGGAACATAAGAGTCAAGTCAGTACCAGGGCCCCATCCTGCAGGATCCCTTGAAGGTGCTTTCTTTCCACAGTAGTGACGTGGAACTGGAAGACAGCACTTGAGGTGGCCTGTGACCTTGGGCAGGTCCCTCAGCAGTGTCTTGGCACCCTCACCTGAGCAGCAGGTGAGCACTGCCCTGCTTACCTCACAGTGTAGGGTTGCATGGTGCTTGTCATGCTGGGAAAGAAGGTGCTTTGCAGACTGTCACAAGCACTTCAAGGACATAATTCTGCCTGCTCCATCAGGGTAAATTTGGTATCTTTTTTACAAGACAAGGGGATTTGAAACAACCAAAAACTTTGCTTGTCTAGCTGTGGAGCCTGTTCAGAATGTAGTTGTGGCACTCATTACCTTTGAGAAGAAAGATAATAGTTGGTGCCTTAACACTGAAGGATTCTATTCTCTCACAACAGGTGTTAGCACCATTTTACAGGCAGGAAGTTGAGGTTCAGCTGGGCCCTGGGCTGCTTAGGGACTTTGAAGACAGACTTTGTGCTTACTCCCCTGGTGAGCCGAGGAATTGGGAACTCATTGAAGAGACAGGGCTTGGGGAAGAAAACTTCTCATAAGGTGGGCTCGGCACCCATTTGGGATTTCATAGAAATAGAGTTAACCTGGCCCAGGCAAGGACTTACCTTTGGCCTCTTCCCCAAGGATATCCTGAAGAAACTTCTCCAGGGCCTGGCAGTGCTGCTGGTACTGAGCCCCTGACAGCTTGATGCTGACATCAAAGGGGGCATTGAACTAGGACACAGGGTGACACAGGAAGGATCAGCAGTCACACCCCCACCCAGCACAGACACACCTCTCATGGGAGGCTCAGGATGGGGTGTGCCTGACACAAGCTCGGAGTGCTCTGCCCACCAGGCCTGTGTCTCCCCTCCTTCGGGCTGCTCCCTCACCTTCTGGTCTCTGTCCATGTTTCCCAGCCTCAGCATCTCTTGGGTTCCTAATAGACCGGAATCCCCTAATATGCTTCTTTTCCCTCCTGTGGTTTTGGAAGACAGCCGATTGAATCGCTGCCAGTGAAATTTCCAACCTTAGCAGGAAGGGTGAGGATGCTGTGTATCTATCTGGCATGCAGGCTGCTAACCTGGGAGATGATCCCGGCCTCTCCTCGTCCACCTTTCTCTGTTCTCATTGTCCTGCCTTGCTCCCTCCCTCATCTGTTCTTCCTCTGGACACAGACCTGTTGCACGGGAAATCAAACTGGAAGCCAGCTGTTTTCTAGAAGGGAGCTCCCAGCCAGGTCTTTTCTTCTTTCTGCACCTGTTTCTCCCTCCCCCTTCCCTGGTCTCCAGGTGTTCTGAGATGGTGCAGTGCAGGTCACAGTTTGGGGGAAGCAGCAGCAAGCCATTTGTGGCCATGTCATAGACTTCCCTCATGGAGAGCAGGGACTGAACTCTCTTGTTGGCAGCTACCTTGGGCCTGGTGTGTTGGTCACTCAGGTATTTGAATGTGTTCATGAAGGCACCTTGGTGCTGGAAAGGAGCTCTGATATTCTGGTCCTTTCCCCAGTCCTCATGGTTGAGTGACCTGCGCAAGGTCACAGAGGGAATTGGTGGCCAAGAACTAGAAAGCAGTACTCTGAAGCCCACCCAGGCCCACACGCCATCATGCCAGGCCAGGCCATGTCCCTGATTCCTGCTGCCACGTCACACCTCAGTGCTCCTGTGAGGCAGGGCTGTCTTGTCCCCAGCTCACAGGTGAGGAAACAGGCTCAGAAGGTCTGACATGGAAACAGCCATGTGTTCCCTTTGCAAAACGTGGCCCTGAAGGTGGAGTATGTGGGCAGTGGCGAAATTGGTGTCTTTAGGGAACTGGTGCTTCTTCCTTCCTTTGGGAAGTGCCCATTTTCCTTCTCCACCCTGCAGCGGGGAGAGGTGGTCAGATCACCTGCCGGTCATCTTAGGAAGCCACCAAGCTGGTCTGATGGGAAATGTGCTTCAAAGTCACCCAGACAAGCCCTGGAACATGTAGATTTCCTCGGCCCCTGTTCAGTGGGCATCGAGGAGTTGGCCTCAAAACTCTTGTAGTTCTGAATGTGATTTTGGAGGGAAAACCTTTGAAGGGGGAGGTGGAGGGGCCTGAGATGAGGTGGAGCCAGAACGGAAGAGGTTTGCCTGGCACTCAGGACTCAGTTTGTGCTTTGCCCTCCCCAGTCCTTAACAATCATGCCCCTCAGTTTCCAGGAACCCTTCCCTGGCTCCGGCAAAGGCTGAGCAACAGTTTCTTCCAGGCCAGTGACCATGGAAACTAGACTTCTCCTTAACTAGACTTCCTCCTGCCTGAGCCAGCCTGGAGCGCCTTGCCTAGGGAAAGCCTCCTGGTGTGAGCCTGAGGCTTTATAGGCCATGCACAGGTTCCAGGGAAAGCTTCACTGGATGGTCCTGTGCCCTGCTGTGATCTGCATCTTGAGTGTAGTGGGGTGAGCAGGTTACGCTACAGAAGAGGTGCCTCCTACAGAAGGCTGTTACCTGTGAAGACCTCTAGACAGCAGTGGAACCAGGCACAGGGGCACAGGCCTGGAATCCAGTACCCTGGGAGGCTGAGGCAGGAGGATCATAAGTTCTAGCCTGGCCTGAGCAGCTCAGAGACTTAGCAAGACCTTGAATCAGAATATTTAACAAGGGTAGGAGATGGAGCTCAGTGTGAAGGCCCTGAGCAATGGAGCAGCACAACACAAAGCAGGTGGAGTGGGACCTGCAGTGACAAGCAGAGAGGCAGTGAAAGTTGTTGGAAGAGCCCAGAGGGCTTTCGAGGGCTGTGAGCCTTGGCTGCTGAGGTGGTGATGGGGCTGGCTGGGGGCCACAGGCACTGAGCCCAGAGCCTCCAACACCAAGGGAGCTGTACTTCACCAGTTTGTGAAGTGGGCATCAAGCCCGGTGGTGACAGGCATGACAGTGCAGTGATTGCCACTGTTGGGTTCACCCCAGGGGATCCTGGCTTAGCTGCAGTAAGGTGTGACCATCTAATGCTTATGAGAGCCAGAGCCAGCCTCATGGGAAAGTTACAGACGATCCCCATCACATCCCTTTACTCCCTCCTGCTAATCTTTGAGCTGTCTCTTCAGGTTTTCCTTGTACCATTCAAGATTTGTCATAGCTGAGTGTCATGGTGCACTCCTATAACCCAGCACTCTGGGAGGCTGAGGCAGGGGATCTCAAGTTCCAGCCCAACCTAGGTACTTAAATGATTTAGACCCTGTCTCAAAAAAGGGCTCATAGCTCAGTGAATGGGTCTTGGGTTCAATCCTTCACACCAAAAACAAACTTGATCCACTTTGACTACAGGTGGGGCTAGCAGCCCACTTCCCTGTGTCTGGAGTTCAGTCTCCAACCAGTCCATCCCCATGTTCAGGCCTTTGAGGCCCCTGCTGGCCCCTCTGAAATTGCCTGGTGTCCACTAGTGCCTTCCCTCCCTGGCTCTCAGTGCCTTATGCTCCTGAGCTCTTATGGCAAAGTTATTTAGATATTTTTCTCTCCGGCAAAGACCTCATGGGGTCCTGTGCAAAGCTCAGCAGTTTAGGCAAGTTTATTGTAGGGAGCTAGTCTACATAATTTTGGGGAGAAAATTATTTTACAATTAAATTATGATTAAACCTAGTCTTGCCAGGCTGGTTATGCTATGTCAAAACATAACTCCATTTTTGCCTGTGGTCACAGCTGAGACCTCAATGGTTGAGTGATGCTGTTGAGCTCAAGGGCAAGATTACATCAGCTGAAGACATCCTGGTTCCTTGAGAACCAAGTAGTACAAAAAAGATTTCACCTGGGGAGGGACCAGTTCCTTATCAACTTAACTCATCCCACCTACTGTTGTAAAAATGCTTGCCTTACAGCCCTCATCAACATAAGAACCTCATTGTCAGCATAAGTTCCTCCTAGGATTACCACAGCCCCCTAAGTTACCTGAGGCTCTCTCCAATTATTGTGTGTACCCAATAAGTGACGGCTAGCTCAGGGAGTCTATCTTTGCCCACTCTGAGACACTGAGCCCCCCACTCTTTGAAATACTTTGAAATTACAAAAATCTCTGTTGTCTCTTTTTCTTTAGCCCTCATCATCCCCCTTTCTAGGCAGTCGGAGGATTGCCCTCTTTATAATTTCTGAGTAGCCGCTTCTGCCCTTCTTCCCTGGCCCCACACATGCCACAAACCACAAGCCCTCAGACCTACAGAGCACAAACCTGGATCTCCAGCTCATCCTCAGTCCTGTCTGCCCACCCTTTGCCCTCTGGGCGGAGCCAATCTTCCAGTGCTCGCGGCTGTACTTTGGCTGATGGCTGCTTGGACTCCTTTCTCTGCTGGAAGGGAAAGGTGTTCTTTAGGTCCCAAGCCCTCCTGTCTTCCTAGGAACAGGAAGGTCAGGCCATAGTCCTGTCCTCTGGGAGACAGCAGAGGCCCCACACAGGTCACACAGCTGCACGCTGAGTGGCAGGGCCTGAATGTGGGCCTGGAGCAGAAAGGGCTTACCTGGGCTTTCTGATGCCCAGGGCTCAGGAAGCTGGAGCCTGCCATGGCCAAGTCCACCCAGAGCACACTGAGGAGCAGCAGGCTGCAGAGGGTCCTCGCTGAAATCATGGCCTCCACTGGATAGGGACTGGTGGGCCTGGGAAAGAGTCTTGGGTAACTTACCTCACCCCTTGATGGGGCTGAGAGCCTGCTTGGGTGGGAGCCCATCATCAGGCCGCAGGGACTTTTGACCCTGGGTTGTGACTGCTAGGGAGCATGGTCCCTGTGCATCCGAAAGGTAGGAGAGAGTTGAGGCTGTGGGCTGCATTCCAGAACCATGCAGGACAGGATGCTTAGCAGTAGGACCTCTGTGATGGAGGCAGGGGGTGTCTCCTGTCTCATCTCCTCCAGGCCTGGAGGAGCTTGTGCCAGATTCCCCCCCCCCCCCAGTACAGGAGGATCGAACTTAGGACCTTGGCCTTGTGAGGCAGGGGCAGTGCCACTCAGCTAAATCCCCGATCCTGTGCCAGAATTTTTAACAAAGGAGGATGAAGCAGAACTAGCAAGGTCTGCAGAGGATATGGGGATTGGGGCACCTCCTAAAGAAAACTGACAGAGCAGCAAGCCTGACCTAGGCTGTCTGTTCTCCCCCTTGTTTAGATAGACCTGCTGAGGCCTAGAGGAAAAAAATAGATGTCACCAGTCACATGTAAGTTAAACCTATACACACACACAAGCCTGAGGAGTGCCGCACCTACCTGGACTCCCTTTGGAGGTGGTGCACAGGGGAAGTCTGGACCTTATATAGGAAGCCTGCTGTGTGCTTTCATCCAGTGAGTGCATCTCAAAGGTGGCCCAGCTGCCAAGGGCTGACTGACATTCCATGGAAACTAACAGTGCCCTTCCCCTGTCAGGAACCAACAGTGGAGATCAGGCTCCTGAGGGGTGGCTGGGTTGGCATGGTGTGGCGTGTATGCCTGCCCCAGCTGTCCTTGCCAATGAGCACAGGGGCATGTCTGTACCAGGGGCCTGGCCATGGTGCAGGTGGCTGTGTAACCTTGGCTTGCTCCCATTCTGTAAGATGAGGCTACCCTTACCAGATCTCCAAGCCACGTCCAGTTCCAGCACACTGCTGTCTTTTGTGAACTGAGGCTCACAGTTCACATGTGAGGACTGCCCTGCTTCACACACGAGAAACCCCTTGACTCAGAAGTAGCAGTGTGGGGCATTTCCACCCCATGACCACAAACCATGCTGCTTCATCTTTCCTTTCGGTTTGGGGGTAGAACCCTGGCCATCACACATGCTGGGTAAGCACTCCATACATGCTGGGTAAGGACTGCAGCCCAGCCCTTTTGCGAAATTGTGTTTTGAAACAGTATGCTAAATTGCCTAGGCTGGCCTTGAACCTGGGATCCTCCTACTCAGCCTCCCAAGCAGCTGGGATGAGGCATGTACCACCGCATCCAATTTGCCTTTCCTCCATTTCTTTTGGGTGGTACAAGTTGACTGCCTTTGGCTGTGGGGTTTTGTTTTGTCTTTTGCTGAGTTGTATGGAACCCAGGGCTTCATGTGGTCTACAAGCACTCTACACTGAGCTATACCCTCAGCCTGGCCTGTGTTTCTAATAGCAGCAGGCTGCTCCCTCGGTGAATGTTTTCCATTCTGGATGAGGCCTGATTGGAGCTGGAGGTGGGAGTCTTGTAGCCTAGGGCTGGCTCACGTCCTTGTGTGCTGTCGCCTTAGGCAGGTCACATATTCACACACACACCTGTGCTTAGGCCCCTGCATTTCAGATCCCTTTAAGGATTAAAGGGAGGATGGCAGTGAAAGCACTTACAATTCTAAAGAACCCTCCAGAAGGTAATGGCTGGTGTAACCCACACCCTGGGACTTTCGAGCATCTGCCACGGCCACTGGCTCAAGATGCCAGGGGCCAGATATCCTCCCTGAGCTTCATCAAATTGATGCCCAGGCCAAGTGAGCTGCTTATTGGAGTCCCAGCTGTCCAAAGGGCTGTGTGCTGGTCTAGGCCATGCTAGGGCTGCAGGTGGGAAAGGCTGCAGCAGGAGGTGTGCAGTGGTGGATTGGGGAGCAGGCCTGGTGCAGGAGGGGTGGGTGGCAGGGATGAAGGCGTGGGGCAGGGTGCAGTGAAAGGGCTGAATGGTGGTTTGGGTCAGGTTGGGGATGCTCCTGCAATGTGCTAGCCCCAGAAGTGTGAAGGGAGGCCAGTGACCAGTCATGAACAGGGGAGAGACAGAACCAGAGTTAACAAAAGAGTTGGAAAGTCTTCAAAACCTGAGAAGCAGAACCCTTCATTTCACTGGAAGGTAAACTGAATGCCAGGAGGGCCATGTTTTCATGCAGGTCTTGGGTAAATCCCAGGCCTCAGCCTGCCCTCTGTCTCCTGCTATGCAGTTCTCTTCAGATCAGCTGTCTACTCTGCCATGAGCACAGTGTTCAGGAAGATGGTCTGCCCTGTGTGGGGGACCTTGACGGGGCATCCAGCTGGGAAAACATTGGCAGCAGACAGTCAATTGCCAGATGACCATGTGATCTACCAGAAGGCCCGGGGAGGGGGCAGCTGGAAGCACATGTGTGGCTGGGCCAAACCCCTCAGTAGAATGGGGAGACTAAGGGGCTCATGTTGAAGAACATTTCATCTTTAATTCCAGAAGAAGGGGCACATCACCAGGAATCACAGAAGCTCTGTCACACCAGGCTCAGGTCTCTGTCCCAAAGACAGAAATGGTGGAGAGAAATCCTGAGCCCTCAGAAAAGACCTGAAGACTTTTCAGGACCACATCCCCAAACCTGTCAGAATTCCCTGAACCATGGTGACCGGGCACCTGCTGAGACCTGAGGGGCCGTGCCTCTGCAGGAGGCCTCAGAGGCAGTAGCTGCCTGTAGATCTTAGATACATGCCCATGAACAAACACCACACCATGCTGTTATCTCAATGGTGCGATCACCTGACGTGGAGCCCGGCCGCATGCTGTGGAGTCCAGAGTGCACGGAGGAGGCAGGGGAGGGAAGAAAAGCCAAGGGGTACAGGACCCATGGAGGGAGGAGGTGCCTAGAGTACCACACGACCCACTCAGCTGTGCAGTGGTGGTGGTGGTGGGGTCTGGAAGCTGGGCCTGGGGGAAGGATGATGGCCAAGCCCAGGCTGACAGCTCCTCCTCTTGCAGCCAAGCAGAGGTAGGGTAAAGTCACCTCTGTCTGCCTATCAGCTGGGGGGCTCCCTTCCCTTGGGGTTCCCTTCCGTTGCTGTTCCCTTGAGGAGCTACTGTAGTGAATGGACCAGAGGCCTTGTCAATACTGAGCTAATTGCTGTATGTACATGGTGCCTGAGAACAAATTCTTTATTCACTTTGCACTATGTCTTCTGCACTGATAATTGGTTCATCATGCACTTCCCCCTCTGTGTCACTGGGGAACAAACCCAGGGGTATTGTACCATTAAGCTACATCCCCAGCCCTTCTTATTTTGAGATGGAGTCTTGGTAAGTTGCCCAGGGTGTGCTTGAACTTGAGATCTTCCTACCTCAGCCTCCCAAACAGCTGGGATTATTGGTGTGTGCCACTGTGCCTGGCTTGTTTATTTTTTAAATAGTTCAGCTAACTTTAATTTGACTGAAGCCATCTGGGGTTATGAAAGAAGTTTTACTCTTGAAGTTTGGGATATTTGGTGCTTTCCTTCTCTTCTGGTTCCTGTGACTTCTAGATCAGCACTTTTTAATAGAAATGCAGTGCTGTCCTCTGGAGTGCTGGGACCACAGGCGTGTCTCACCATGCCCAGGTTCATATTCTGTTTTGTCTAGCTAGTGTATCTTCAGTATAGCACATTATTAACACAATATTTGACTTGTTAAAATCCCAAGCTTTGAAGTCCAGTAGTTTCACTCTCACAGCACATCTGGGTGGGAACAGCCACTGTGAGTGTGTTGGTAACTACATGCAGCTGCCAGCTCCCGTGCCAGGCAGTGCTGGTCTGTTTCCATCTCTGTGGGCCCACTTCCTTTTGTCCCACTTTCCCTTCCTGCTGCCATGCCCACCCAGCTTCTCCCCTACGCCTGCTTTCTACCTCTAGATCGGGACTGTGGTCCAGAGGTGAGCAGTGTGAGGGCTGCAGGATCTCGGGCTAGGTGAAGCCCAGTTCCTTGCTGCAGGCCTGTGCCAGGCTCATGCTGGACTCGAGAAGAAGTGTTGGAGAATGCAGACTGTTAAGGTCTTTTCCTCAGGCTCTGCCCTCCTCGGTCTGGATGGGGGACCCAAATCTGTATTTAACAAGTGTCTTGGGGCCGGGGATTTAGCTCAGTGGTTCCACTGCCTGCCTCACAAGTGCAAGGTCCTGAGTTCAATCCCTAGTACCAGAAAAAAAAAAAAAAAACCCAAAAACAAGTGTCTCAGGTAATTCTTTTCTGATTTTAAAACACTGCTTGCTGCCCAGAATAAAACTTGAACATACAGAAGATTCTGTGTGTTTGTGTGTGTGTGAGTGTGTGTGAAAATTTCAAAATCCAAAAATAGTAGAGACGGCATAAGCATACTCAAGAGGCTGAGGCAGGAGGATCACTATGAATTCAAGCCCAGCCGGGGCTACAGTGAGTTCAAGGCACCCTGAACTTCAAAGCAAGACCTTGTCTCAAAACCAACCAAAAAAACCCCACAAAAACAAAACAGTATAATGACTCTCAGTATTTATTTTCTTTTTAATTCTTTTATTGGTACATTTTAGGTATACAGTACGTTTACATTTATCAATGGGTGTTTGTACCTGTACATGATGTATCTTAGTTATTATTTTTTCCTCCATTACCTGTGTGCCCTTCATCCCTTCCACCCTTCCTTATTTACATAGATTTCTTTTCCATTTTTTTTCTTTTCTCATAATTTTCCTTTCCCTCCTTCCCTTTCCCCTTCCCC